TCGAGACCGGCAAAAGCTACAGGGCTGAAACTTTGAGGACATAATCTACATGCACGTACGGGCCCCCATCTCCAAAATGGGCGGTCTTACCCGCGTGGTACCCGCGTAAGAGCCCGTCAAAATTTTTTTAGGGTTAGTTGATAACTGGCGAACCAGGAAAGCTAGAATGCTGAAATTTTAGGGAAATGTTCCCCGTCCAAGTATATACTAATGAGCTCAAACCCAACTCCCGTGTAAGCGTGGTACCCGCGTACGGGCCCGCCAAAATTTCTCCCGCTTAAATTCATAACTGGGGATATGAAATGCTAGAAAGCTGAAATTTTAAGGGATATTCCCCGTCCAAGTAGGTACTAATGAGCTCAAACCCAACCCCTGGGTAAGCGTGGTACCCGCGTACGGGTGCGCTAAAATTTTTCCCGCGTAAATTCATAACTCGGGGATATGAAATGCTAGAAAGCTGAAATTTTAAGGGTATGTTCCCCGTCCAAATAGGTACTAATGAGCTCAAACTCAACCCCCGGGTAAGCGTGATACCCGCGTACGGGCCTGCCAAAGTTTTTCCCGGGCAGGTTCGTAACTCGGGGATCTGAGATGCTAGAAGACTGTAACATTAGGGTGTTTCTCGTCCACATTAGTCTCAACGAGATCAAACCCAGCCCATGGTTATGCGTGAACGGGTTCGCCAAAGTTCTCGGGTAAGCTCATAACTGGAAAACCTGTAAAGCTAAAAGATTGTAGTTTTAGGAGGATGTTCCCCGTCCAAGTAAGTCTCAAGGGGCTCAAACCCAGACATCGGGTATACGTGGTACCCGAATGCGGGCTTGTGAAGAATTTTTTCCAGTAAATTGCTAACTCAGGAGCCAAGAAAGCTAGAGAGCTGAAATTGTAAGGGGGTGTTTCCTGCCAGTTTTGGCGGCCAGTCTTAATTTGTTTAGCTTGAAGGATTTGCCAAAAAACCGATACCGGTAGCGACAAAAACTACGGGGAACTATGCAAAAAACGCATCTTCGCACGGGCAGCCAGTGCGTTGGCCAATTATTTGTTTTTAACACTGTACAGCATTTTCATTTGATTTCTGTGTTCCTTTTTTGCTTAAATTTGCTTTTCTGCAGTTAGACCTTATACTTTCATAAATGAATCTAGATCTCACTTGCTTAAATTCTCCGAAATTATCACTCACATATGAGAAAAATTAGCGGAATTTTATAAACTGAAAGTTTAATCTAAGATAAAGGTGTCGTCCTGGCTGAACTGTAGATCTCATCCAGCAATCACCACCCGGTAGCAGGATGAAATCTACAGTTCAGCAAGAGCGACACTTTTGTTTGCTAGTGCTTGATTTACTAATTTCCAGATTTGCTTTTCTGGTGTTTGGGCAAAAGTGGTACTTTTTTGGCACAGGAATATCTTCCATCTTTCGAAAATTTTCCTTTCAGAGAAATTACGGTACGGAAAGCTATGAGCTTGATTTGGGTGCCGACGATCTCAGAGTTGACTTGTCGTTTCTGAAACCGCTCACTGCTTATGAAGTTAAAGTGATAGCTGTGAATGATGTCGGCAATAGCAATGCCCGCTCGATTGTTATCAGTACACCTGGTTAGTTTTTGACCTAACTTCTGACAAAGTTCTGACAAAACTGACCAATGTCGTCTGCAAATGTCGTGGATGATTTATCGATAGCAGCTACAAAGAAATGCACGCACCATTAGATATTTTTTACAAAAGTCATTTTTAGAATTTGTGGAAGGAAGAAGAGGCGCCGAGGAATCCAGTTGGCTACGAACTGCCCTGCTTATCTTTGTGTTGTTTTTGTCGTTAATCCTCACTATCGACATTATTCGCTACGCAAAGCATCGCAGCGGATTGCTGGCACTAATGTGTTCAAATTGCTTCGCTAGAAGTGACACGGAGCATACCAGTGAAGCAAAAAGCGTATTACAGGACGATAAGTTTGTTTCACATTTGATTTCTTAAGGTACTGCATGGTTAGCTGTTCTTTCAGCTCAGAAACTTCGGTAACCAGAAATTTATTCCTCATCAAAAATTAGGCTGAAGAATCTATTTTGTCTGTCTGAAAGCATTGTATCAGCTCTCACCTCACTAAAGTTTTTATTTGTTGCAGGATCGAAAATAATCATTTGTTGACTGATGAACAGAGCAGTCCACCAGTAACCGTAAAGTAAGTAATTTAATTACTTCGGTGGAATAAAAATATTTGACGAGCAGTGTTAGGGATGATCAAACACCTGTTTGAAATTGCACACAAATTTCTGTTTCTTAGTGTTTTATTTTTACGCGCTTTTTACTGCAGCAGTTGCGCAAATCGCATTGTCGAGACCCTGTCTGTAAATGTGTTCCGAGTGCGTTTTATCTAAGGCTTTTAGTTCAGGAACCAAAAAAATTGGAAGGCGTAAATTTTGGGAGCTTGTCTCCCACCTGCGTGTGATCTTACAGACTTAAATTCAGCCCCCACTTTTGTTTAGATCTCATGTACATACACGCGGAAATTATTAACTAAGGAACCGGTAAAACTAGAAAGTAAAGTTAAGAAAGATGTCAAGATGTCACGTGCCCCTATAGGACACTGAAAATTTTAGATTTATCTTTCTCATGTGCATATAAATGCTTGCACTTTGGCGGGAAATTTCCCAACTCCGAAACAACCAAACTTTCAAGAGGATTTCTCTTTTGCTTGTGCAACTCCAAAAATTTTAGAGCCAGTTTTTACGTACGCCTAAATCTCACGTATGGAAAAATGTAAGTTTTGGCCGAGCAGAATATCTCAACGATTTCTGTGCTTATCAAGCAGCAAAGTAGTTAACATTTTTACGCTTTTGCTTATATGCAAATGCAAAAACTCATATTGTGACGACCCCGGTGTATGGATGTATGTGTGTGTTCGTTTGGTTGGGTATTTCAACCCGGCAGCCAAGGAAGCTCCTGTGGTAATATTTTGCCAGCGGGTTCCCCGGCGATGTGCCACCGCAGGGCCGCGGTACCAATCCTCACGCAAGTTTGGGCCCGGCGTACGAGAGGGTGAAAGTTTTGGCAGGAAAATCGCTAACTCGGAAACCAGAGAAGCTAGAAAGCTAAAATTTTGAGATTATGTTCCCCGCCCGCTTAGAACTCAATGATTTCAAATTCAGTCTTCAGTTGTGCGAGGTTCTCACGTATGGCCCCGTGGGGATTCCTGGCAGGAGAATCGCTAACATGGAAACCAGGAAAGCTGGAAGACTGAATTTTAACCGGGTGTTCCCAGTCCATGCACAATTTCAGGTTATCAAATTTGGCCCCCAAGCATGCATTATTCTCACGCACGACTCCGTGGAAATTTTTGGTGAAAAGAACTGTTAACAGGAGAACTAGAAAAGTTGAAAAGTCGAGATTTTAATGGAATGTTTTCTGTACAAATACCGCATACTTGCAAAATTAACTCCCCGAACTTCGATGATCAATATGTCACAAATTGTTGCAGCTGGGTTTCCGAGCGATCTTACTACAGCACGAAATGCTGCAAAAAAGCATGATCGCACGGGCTCGTCTGGCGCGCGTAGCCAATGATTAAAAGTAAATGTCCGCTGGACAGAACTGCACAAAACGCATGGTCGCATCAGCCAGCCTGGTTTGCATTGCTATTTATTCTATAATCTCCTAGAATAACTGCTCTGTTATTGTTTGTTATCAGTAAAATATTGCGTTTGATGAAATAGCAGCTGAACAAAGTATCAAACTAAAGTAATCAGTAAAAGACAAAAAAGTTAACCTTCAATGTGCGCTTTCAAAAATCGCGAATGTGCCCGTTTCCGCTCTCTAGGAACCTGATTGCTCCACTGCTTCAAGTCGTTAGGAAATAAACTGGCTATATTTTGTGGCGATTTTGTTTTATAAGTGATTTTATTGTCTGCTTGTTACTCGAAAGTCTTCACACATCGAAGATTTAACGAGAGTTATCAGCATTGGGAGACCAAATCTCTTGTGTTTGCTTCGATTATCGTCGTATTCATTGACTGTCTGTACTCTAAAGTCATTTTTAGGAACATAATTAAGGCTTTTAAAAGTTTTTTCGAATTTTCTAATCCAGCGACTATGTAGGTGGTGGCTTTCTAGAAGACGAGCTTTTCAGCAACAAATAAATGTTAATCCTAATGAATTGTTAATGCCGTTTGTTTTCTGTTGAAACACAGGATCCTGACGCGATGCTGTATTTGAACAGGAGACGTAGAGTCAGAGGCAGCAAGCACCAAAATCAACAAATTTAAAAAACTACAAACTGCATAAAATTGGGCTTATTTGTACATAACATTTTACGTGCCAGTGGGAGCACTTTTTCACCACAAAAGGTCACTGGATACAAAATTACAGGGAGACGGAACCTCCACAGGTGTCCATTCTTTCGAGATATTATATTTTTTGCCTGAACAGTATTTACAGTATTTACAACAACAATATTCGGAGCAGTGATATTCATGGCAACAACATACGAAGCATAACATTCCGGGCTTGCAAGATAATTAGCAGGATGGAACTTTCCTGGCTTTTCCCTTTGGTTGAACAGTTGCGGGATTTTTTTGATCGCTGAGCATTTTTCAAATGAAAAATCTGTCATTCGTTTTTTTGTAAAAGACAGATATGATGGAATTAATAAATTTTTGGAACTTTTATGGTCATTTCTTCTTGGCGGAAAATTAGAACCAGGGTACGGTAGGGCAGAGACCAGGAATTAGATCTAAGGGACATCATGGCTTATTTAGTCTAGGTTTAGGAAATGAAATTCATTTTAACAGCAACATAAGAAATTTTAAAAAGCGTCAACAATTGCGTTTAGCTTGCTCTTAAGCCGGTCGCTTTCTAAAACTTTGCTTCAGTGCTGGACAAAAATATACGAATGGTCCGCACTCCACATCAGTGTAGCAGATCGGCTTGAAAATCACCAAGTTTTCCGGTGCTCTTCGATCGTCTTTTGCATTTCCAGTAACAGAAAATCAAAATTTTGCTCGAAGTAATCATGCTTTAATGAGCTTTTTTCGGCTCCAAATCGCATGTGCTCAGTTGGATTTTCTTCAGAAAATTAAGTTCTTGTTGTGCAGTTTCCACTGTTTTGTCATTTTTGTTTGCCTCGTCGCTAAAAGCGACAACTGGTCCAGCATGTTAATCCACCTTCTCCTACAGTTCATTTCGATGACTAATTGTTGCAGTCATTCATACGAGCCCAGGTTACCTTCTTCTTCCTCCTCAATTTTCAGACGAGAAAATCATCGACTGCCCTCGCACATTTACTGGTATTGATGAGCACTGCTAAAACGCGGAAATGGAATCACCTAAATGACTTTGTGAGACAGCACAAAGCTGCAAAACGATTTATCTATTGATTCGTAGCTCTGCATCAATACAGTGAAGTAGATTACCATAAATCTTTTCAAATTTTCCCATATCCTGGAATTCGATGGGAATATCACAGTAAATCAAAAAAATTCTCAATCGCTTTTCGCTTACGTGGTGCTTTTCACGTAGCGCCCTGCAGCTGAAGTGCTATACTGTAGATTATGCTGAACCACAATTATGTGTTTTAGGTATGCTGGAGTAAAGAAGCATGAAATGGATTCGTGCGATCTATAAAACGACGGCGCGCATATCTCGCTGCCTGCAAGATATGTGCGCCATCGTTTTGTAGATCGCACGGATGGCCTTTTTGTGGATGTCACCTACACTAATGTGCGTTCTCTCGCAGACTGGGCAAAATATACTGCACAGCGTACTTATATTTGCTTATCGTTCATTCTGTGCTCTGCTTCACTTATCTTGTAATAACTGACCAGTGACAAGTTGAGAAGCCTAGCTTCACGAATTTGGGATCTGTTGAGATTGAATCAGAGTCTTGTTAGCTAATGATATCAACAATGATGCATTATTGTACATGTACATAATTCCAGTTGTGCCTTCAAGCGCTGCGGTATGTTTCCCATGTCCTGAATCGCTAGAATCAGTGAATGGTTGCAGTGGCTGCTCTTGCCCCGGTGTTCTGCGCATTCGCAAAGCAACTGTTCAAAATTACGGACAGTTCTATGACCAATTAAGTATAACTGATTTTGAATTAGCTTGGACAGGGAAAAATATGACAAAGCTTCGAATATTGTGCTGCGTAGTCGAGGATCTTTGAGCAAAAAGTATGGGTGGGCGGTAGCGCTAGATTACTCATTTTGCTCTCGTAACTGGGAATTTGTCGGTTAAAAATTTATAGCAAGGACGTCAAAAAAATTAAATTCCTGGAAGAAAATGATAGGTAGGTGGCCCTTCCCCCTCTCATCGTGCCTTCCTCAACCCAACTGACTTGCAGCTGCGTGAACGAACGCAATGCGCCTATGCATGAGCATGCAGCGGGAAGCCCTATCGTCGTACATCCTTACGCAGTCGTGCATTATTCTCAAGCGCATATTGTTCAACTTTTGTTTGTACGTGTAAGATTTTTGTCGGGTCCACTGCATCAAAACCATCTCACTTGATCCATTCATTCTAATAAAATACATAGTAAGTTGAACGACTGATGCCGACAAAAGATGCAGTCCAGGTCATGTGGCAACGTCTGCCTAGAAGTCCAAGCCATCGTTTTTACACATGCAACCGAATAAGCTGCGAAACAGGACAAATGTGCTGATCGAAACGAAGACGCATTTTTACGCGTTTTTGCATATATGCAGGTTGCAAAAACGCATATTGGGAAGAGGCTGTTCATGTGTGTGTATGTATGTGTGTTCGCACTTTTCGTCACCCGTTTTCAACTTCAGAATCAGAAAAGTGAGAAGGCTGAAACTTTGGGAGTATATGCCCACAGCATGCGCGATCCTCCCATCTTTATATCATCCCCCGTGGACGGCGGGGTGCCGTGTACGAAGGCTTTAAAAAAATATGCAAATCTTTTGGCGGGAAAACGATCTCGGGAACCACGCGAGATAAGGGGCTGAAACTTTGTAGGGATATTCCCTATGCAAGTCTGGTTAAACATTTTAAATTCAGCCCCCAAGTATGCGTGGTACTCACGTAAGGGCGTATGGAAGTTTTAGTGGGAAAATTATTAACTTGAGGACCAGAGAAGCTAGAAAGCCGAAATTTTAGGGTAATGTTCCCTGTCCAAGCGCAACCTAAGTATTTCAAATCCAGTCTTGAGGTATGCGTAGTTCTTATGTACGGCCACTTAAAAATTTTGGCGGAAAAATTTCTCACTGAGTTACTTTTAAAGAACGACCGTTAAATGGAAATTGTACATTTACTTTATGCAAGATTTCTGGTGATTTATGCTAGTGACCACAAAAGGTGGCTGTAAAGCAACAACCATTCATGCAGTTAGTGACCTGAGTACTTCAAGTCCGGTACAAAAACGCATGATCGCACGAGCCTGCCCAGTGCATTCCAGACTGGGTTGAAGTTGGATTGACTGGATAAGATTCTTACGGAAATTAGCGCTGCAACATGAATCATTTGCTGGCTTGCCAAATGCCACGAGCTTTCTGGCAAAAATAAAGTCACCTCTGTGTAAGATGATTCACTACTTCATCCTGTACAGACCTATGTAGCAAATTCCCAAATGGTAGTCTGGCTTTCCTTTTCCAGGCCGTCGACCGGTTTCGTTACAGCGACGCACCTTTTTTCAGCAAACGAAAAACTTGCTATCAGCAAAGGACTTCCCTATTTATGAAGCTGGTCCTTAGGTGAAGCTGAAAGATCGGATAGCTGATGCTTAAGTAAAGCTGAGAGCTCTCGGCTTTACCAAAGCATCAACTTGATAAATACGCTTGTTCCCCTCCTCTATCCTGCCCCCCATCCCTGCCTAGCAGAGCCAACCAGTATCACCACTAGTCATTCCGTACTCCTCACTAGCCCCCTTGTTCCTCTCACATATCTTACCTTAATCGGTGCTTGCTGAACTATATCCGGGCACCTACCAACAAACTCCTTCACCATCCATGTGCAATCCCCTCCCCCCTTACTGTGGAGGAGGAACTGCTTCGTTGGTTCCTCAGGTCGCTTTGCCCCACAACAGATAATTGTGTTTCTGGTTCGTGTCCTCAAGTATCTCCAGTACGCGCTAGTTGGGTAATTATAATGCCAGCAAATATTGCTAAATTCCCCGACTTCGGCGGCTAGCAGACAGCGTGAATACCACCAGGCATTGATTTTTAGGTCAGCTGACGTTATTCCGCCGTACAGTATTAACCAACCGCAGACTCACTCGTCGTATCGTCGATTACCTCAAACTTGGGCAATATAACCTTTATTATACAGAGACAATACACGCGGCACGGACGAATAACGTCAAATACGCTTGGATAAAAAGTTCATTAAAGAATAATACAAGAAAAGATGAGCAGCGCCTTGTCGCTTCATCGTCCGTAGTTGTTGTCCATCCGTCGTTGCATCCGCCACCCGTCGTCGTCGAAAATAGTTGGAATGATAATACCAGGCTGGAACGCACCAGGCGAGCCGGTGCGATCATGCGTTTTTGCATCAAACGTTGAGGTACTC